TTTAGACTATAGCTCATGTGACCTTTACAAGCTTGGAAGAGCCTCTATTTCAGGATGCGCCGTAATCCAGTCGTGCTGCGCATGTTGGATATGGCTGGGAGCTGAGAAGGTGTAGAATGCTACTTCAGCTCACCTCAGCTGCCTTTCCCAAGTTCGTGATACCGTTTGGACCAAGAAGGAGAAATGGTAGTTTCCCAAGATTAGGNNCCTTATTATTGGGATCCCCAAAATGGTACCCCCAATTTTGGGAAACCCCCCAAATTTACAGCTTAGGTGGAGAGCTTGGCTGCACAGGAGCTCGAGTTCCATGTTCCTCAGCTGAAGGGTCTCAGTGGAGCTTTCCTCATCCATTGAGAACTTTTCTGAAGAAAAAACAATCGCCACTGCCAGCTGCATCCCTATCCTTGTATACAAGCTGAGGATGGCACAGTGCCAGCAAACTGCTGCACCATCATCTCTTGGCAGCTACCCAAGGATGACCATGCACATCTTTCAAAACCCAGTCGAAGCGTTGACTCTGTCAGCTAGTGTATTGATTGCTTGTTGGTGGTGGACGCAGGATGCTGCTGTTTTTCTGCAAGCGTTTCGGCCCGTGCTTGTTCGTCCCAGAGACCGACGTTGGGCTCCAATATAGACCTGAGTCTACTACAGTCGTCTAGAATCCTTGTTATTGGGACTCCCAAACGGGGATTCCCATTGTCAGATACCCGCAAATGAGCTCCACGTTGTGAGAAGCGTTTCCTGTGGACCTAGGCTTTAGTGTTCAGAGCTGTACAGAAATGCAGAATAATATACTACAATATACTATAGTAAACTATAGTATCCAAGAATAATATACTATATTCTACTATAACATAGTATATCTTTGGGAATTGAGTGAGAGCCGCACCACGGAGCACCAACCTGGCGATCTAGAATCTGAAATGTTTGGATTAGGCTTCAAGGATGCCAAATAAGACTAATGATAGTAATAGTGATTATAAAAATAGTAGTAATAATAGCAATAGTGATACTAATGAGATGACTGTTAATATTATTAGTATTCGTATTCTTATCATGAAGATTAAGAAGAAAATACTAATCATCATCAGTATTTTCATACACTTTCCCTTAAACAATGCTTCTGGCTCTGGTGACTTCGGTGAAGGTGAGCAGGCGTAAGAGTACTTATCTCGGACGGATGCACGTTACGAGAATATGGTTCCCCTGCTGCCAATTTCATTGTCAAGGTGGGCCCACTGTACAGGCAGGTCAGAAGATACTTATGAAATTTGTTTTTTGTTCGCAAACCCTGCCGCTGACCACGGAGTTCTTCACGATCTTTCAGGATTCAGCGTTTCCAAGTAGACCCTATGCACGGCAATGATATCGTGTGGATCAGGTCCTGTGCCAGCTTGCGCCTCTTTCGCACTTCCGTTTTTGAAATTCTCGTCCAGGCCAGCTTCGATGTGATTTGAGTGTAGCGCCGAGAGAGAGGCTAGTGGCTAGCATTTCACAAACCTCTCAGCATGTCCGCTGACACAGGTGGCTGTTCCCAACCTCAAAGATTGTCAGCCATACGAGATTACCAACATGATGCGCCTCTTCAGAAAGTGATCCACATCTTTGGTGCGGTTATGACGCTGTTGACAGCATCCGTTGCGTTGCCCAAGTACCTCACCCAAGTACTTTACACGCTGGCAGAGGTACCGAGTCTTGCAGTCAGCAAGGTTTCCCTTGTGCAACCTAGGTGGGCCCTAGCAGAGCTATGCCGACGTCATCCTCAAATGGGCAAAGATCTGCAGCCAACCATTCAGGACAAGGGCATGCTGGCGCCACAACTTGGCCTTTGTGTTGCCATGTGACCAAGCAAAGCGCGAGCCATACCATACTATGATACATTGTATACTATACCACACTATGATATACTCTAATATACTATACTTTAATATAGTATACTGTAATATACTCTATTATAATATAGTATGCTAATTCGGTATAAAATACTCAGGAGCTTGTCGAATCGGCTGCTGCCGCACTTTTCGCCCATCCTGAACATTTAAAGCTCCAGGCTGCACAAGGTAGAAAACTGGAATAGTAATAATCATGGTAATAGGTTTAGGGTTAGGGTTTAGGATTTAGAAAGCTGCAGTAGTAGACTAGTAATAGTAATGTGATGTTAGGGTTCTATGAAGGTTATATAGGGGGTAAAAAGGATCATGGAAAAAGAACATCGAAACGATCATTTTGGGGTTACTACTAATGTAAATGTCATAGTAATCGTAATCGTAATAGTCATAGTAATAGTAATAGTAATAGTAGTAGTAGTAGTAGTAGTAGTAGTAATAGTAATAGTAGAAAGAACAAGAATGATAGCCTGTGAAAATAGCATGCCCGAGGTAGTGTCCGTACTCGGCAAAATGTGCTGAAACTCCGAGACACGAGAAAGACAACAGCAGCAATGACAGTACAGACAAGTTAGCGCTGGTTGTTCGCGATGGCTGCAACAATGCTAATCAGTAATGATGGTAACAGATGAGCCTTAGCACGTCTGCTCTTGTTTGTGTGAATGTCGGATGACACGCCCTAAACCCTAAACCCTTAAACTCTAAACCCTAAACCCTAAACCCTAAACTCTAAACCCCAAAACCCGCCTTAACCCGTGCGAGGTGCTAATCTCCTCGTTGATGTCACTCACACTTTTCCCTCGCTTGAATGGCATGACACAAAAGATGCTCCTCATTCGCAACTTGGTGGCATTCAGATTAGGGTTTAGGGTTTAGGATTATACTTATAACAGGGTATAGTGTTAGGGTTATAGAAATGGGTTATATAGGGAGAATGGAAAAGAACATGGAAACTACTATTTAGGGTTTAGGATTTAGGGTTTAGGATTGAGGTTATATAGGGATAATGGAAAAGAACACGGAAACTACTATAGTATATTGGGTTATATAGGGATAATGGAAAAGAACATGGAAACTACTATTTAGGGTGTAGGAATTAGGGTTTAGGGTTCAGGGTTTAGGGTTGGGGTTATATATAGAGAAAATGGAAAAGACAATGGAAACTACTATTTAGGGTTCAGGGTTTAGGGTTTAGGGTTTAGCGTTTAGGGTTTAGCGTTTAGGGTTTAGGGTTGGGGTTATGCAGGGATAATGGAAAAGAACACGGAAACTACTATAGTATATTGGGTTATATGGGGATAATGGCAAAGAAAATGGAAACTACTATAGTGTGTTGGGTCATATGGAGATAATGGAAATGAAGCTGGAAACTACTATGGTATATTGGGTTATATGGGGATAATGGAGAAGAAGATGGATAACTACTATAGTATATCGGGCCCAGACGTCGTGGCCAAAACATGCAGCGCACAGTCTTTGCGCAGACGCTCTTTTTTTTTTTCTGTTCTGCTGGGGCCGATTTGCTGCAGGTCTTCAACCCCATAGATCATCATGCGCACAAGGGCCAATGTACCCTAAACCCTAAACCCTAAACCCTGAACCCTAAACCGCTTTAGGGTTTAGGGCATCGTGATACCATTCCCCAAGCTTGAGCTTTGCTTTCCGCAGGCATCGTCCTTGACATTGCCAATCGAGATGAAGAGTTGAAAGCAACCGAAAACTTGACTCCCGTGCTTCTCAGCTTTGACACGATGAGGAAGCAGCACCCGCAGGCGCAATTTTGTAGGAGTGGAAGAGCAATCCTTTTAGCCGTTGCACATAGTTATGTCTGCGACAGGGTAGGTAGGGCTGATGGCGCGGCCCAGCGCATACATGTAACTCTCACACTGCCTGCACCTCCGCTTATCTACCCAGCGTTGACCCGCACACTTGCGTTCTTTTCCCCTTTGGGTAACGGGTTCATATGAGGTTCTTCTAGGTGAAGAAATGTCATCATATCCCACATGTCCCATTGGTGTTTTATGCCAACCTCGTCAGTGCTACTACATACATTTTTGGCAATGTCTCGCGTTGAAAAACCTACATTTCATGAGCTCGCATGCGCATTTGTGGTCAACCACGTGATGGCGCAGGTCTACCAGGAGATTCTTCTCGCTACAGGTGCTCTGCCACAGGGTCGGGGATGTATGAGCTAGAGTTTGAGGGTGTCAGGTTTAGGTTATTACTTCGGCCCTGGGACGGTAGAAGAGACGTTCATTATTGTAATTTGTGGTGTAATCAGAATGGGAACAGCGTGAAGTTCAGATGGTAGTAGTACCAGCAATGGCATTGACAGAAGATGCAAAATCATGCTCATAGTCGCGCAAGTTGTGGCAAAGCTCCAGATCAGACGAACATGGTAGGTGGTGTTGGTGGTGATAGTGGGAGTAGTAGGAATGGACGAACAAGGTAGGATTTTCAAACCTAGGAAAACCTAAACCCTAAACCCTAAACTGCTCACAATGCTTGTAGCATGTGTGCGCTACGGCGCAGTAGCCTTGCGGCATGACTGGGTTGCTGTTAAGGAACTTAATTTAAGTTACTACCTTGGGGAAACCAAATTAATATATACCCATGATGGTAACTTAAATCCCTATATTCCCCCAATTTCCATTTTATTTTCCATTTTCTTTTCCATTGGATGCTCCATTTAGGGGTATTATCTACTACATATACCCATTATGGTTTAGATTAAGTTCCTTCACAGCGATCCAGATGAAGTTTGCGCTTGGCATGCTATATTCTTCACCTCGTCATTTGAGCCACTGTCTAAACTCTTTCAAGGGGGATATAGGGGATTACATAGCGGAGTATTATAGGGGTTGTTAAGGGATACTAGGAGTTTGGACTATGGCTCATATTCTATGTTTCCATTTTCTTTTCCATTTGATTCTCCATTATTCGGGCTACATACCCCTAAAACCCTCAAATGCTCTTTTTGCATGTTTGCTGTTTGCAGCGCTGGAATGTGAGGCGACCGATTCCCCGGCTTTGTCGCACAGTATGTCCTGGGGCCAAAAAGCTCCCGGGTGAAGTCTTCAAAGAGGACTCAAAAGTGAGACGAGTCATTTGAATCAAATGACTCAACAGACCGACGCAAATGAATTGAAGTCGAAGTCCCTTACTCCTTGTTTTTGATGCATCCAGTCAGCGGCAGATCATCTGATTAGGACGCATTGATTCCTTTTGTGAAGGGACATGTCTGCTCCAGACGGAGTGTGAATCCCATTCTAAAAACGCTTGCGCCTAAAGCGGGCTTCGACCCCAGGTGCGCGATGGTCACTCAATGTGACAGCTCTTGGTGGCGAGCTTCGTTGCGAACTCGGGTGAGTCAGACACCGTCCAGCCTTTCTGAATTCTGATACGATGGCTGGCCTTTGGTACCGGTGCTTCTTCCATGTTGTCCGGTTGATCTTCTGCCCGGAACCAGTTGCCAGCTTCTATCAAGCAGTGCGGTTGGACTGGCTGCTTCGGACTGTCCTGCTAGCAGCTTAGCCGCTCTTCAGTCACTTTGCACTTGCTGCTAAGCAGCCAGACGCAACTTGACATATCCTTGAACTGGAAGACAGCAGCTTGTACTCGTTCCTCACTCGAGCTTGCGCAGCTTAATTAAGCAGCAAGGGGACAGAGGTTCAAAGCGAGCAGCAAAGGGGAACGGACTTTACAAGGCCTGCTTTTGCCCTTTATTAGAATGCTGTGACTGATTTTATAGGACATACCTGATGGCTGACCTCGTGATCCTGGCGATACTTGTAGCAGCTTCCTCAGTAGGTTTCTTGTCGTGTATACATCACACCAAAGAAAAGGTGGTGGACGCCAGTCGCGAACGCACATGCTTGCCATCGTGCCACATCTTTGGAGTCCCACAGAGTTGAAGCGACAAAAGAGTAGGTGTTCTCATCGGGCCGCCCTGCAAGTCAGCAAGGCCCGCGCTGGCAGACATGATGGGCGGATGCCGCTAACATCCTGCCAGCATGAGAATGTTCCACTTCCTGCGGTCGCTGTTCACAAACTCTGAGACCTTGATGCTTTTTTCTTTTGCTGAGACGTGTTTGAAGTGAACGCCCGAGACGAGCATACAGAAGAAGAGAAGCGAGGCGTGCAGAGAAAAACTGAGCTTATGTGCAGGTCTTTTGCATAATTGCACACGCTTGCAGAGCGGACTGACTCACGACCCTAGAGTATAGCAATTCCGCATGCATGGGTATCATGGCTGCAGAAGGATATGGCACTGCCGCCGCTGCCACCGACGCACATCCAGAAGGCTGATTCAGAATTCACGTGGGCTTGGAATTAAAGTTGTACGCGGTCCGCACGCAACAATTTGTACCCTTGCTCCTCTTGATAAGGTCGCGCCTCAAATCCTATCACACCTACTGTTCCCATTTTTGTAGTAGCTCCAACACAGCTGAAGGCCGCCTCAGAAAGCCTAACTAGCTTTGTTACCTGAAGCATCCTCCTGCGTGGCTACAGTAGCGCAGCATCTTGAAGCAGCAGCTCATGTGCGGAACATGCCGCCGGCCCCATTGGCCAAATTGTGAATACAAACAGAGACCAGACAGGCAGATGCTCAGGCATCGGAGAGGATGCAATATACTTGCAATCCAATGTGCTGGGCTACCAAGCTGGGAGAAAGGAAGTGTGTTGCAGATCTGCAGCTGCTTTCAAAACGTACATACATGGCTTCACAATGAGGTCTGGCCCATTCTTGTGACCCATAGAGCTGGGGTCATCGGTCCACTGACCATGAGTCTTGGACGTCGGGGCTAGGGCGATGATGATCGCGGGTGTATCTACCGCACTTGCGTCGGCTATATAGGGACAATGGAAAATGGAAACTACTATTTTATTATGGGGTATATTCTCCAGACGACTCTGCCTGGGTTGCGTCAAAGGGGCTCTGCTACAGCAGCCGAGTTATTGTCCTCACCCACTTTTGCCGCCTTGGGCGGCCAGGCCAAGAAGCACCGTGCCGCGGTTGGTGAGCATGCACTCTATCCAAAAGGAAGAAAGCAAAAATCTGCAAATATAGCAGTTTCCATTTCTTTTCCATTTAATTTTCTCAAAATAATCCCTATAGAACCCCATATGCCCCTATACAACCCAATATCCCCAATACTTTCCCGATTACATGTTTGTTCTTGGTACCGCAAGCACCACAATTGCAACAGGGAGCCAGATCTTTCTGAAAATCTTCCGCCATGCCAGACTCTCATAGTCCCCCTTAAGTAGATAGAATATGGGGTATGATTTAGGGGGGTTATATGGGGATAATGGAAAAGAACATGGAAAGTACTAATAATGTTATCATTGGATGTATTCTATCTACTGAAGGGCGACTAGAATCCAGGACCTGGCACAGCTTGCAAGCTCTCGACTCAATGCCTTTGCAAAGTCTGGTCCCATCCTATCAAAATCAGCAACATTATCTCAATATAATCACTAATCGCTATAGAACCCCATATGCCCCTACATAACCCAATATCCCCAATATATATATATATATATACACCCTATTATATGTTGGTTCTTGGTACCGTAAGTACCCGGTTTCAAGCAAACGCGCATCCTGGAAAGTGAGTCAGCCTGCGTTCACCGTAAACTCCCCATTCGCACGAAGGCCTCGTCACTCGTGTTTGGCTGTGACAGCATCAACACAAAAAAATCAATGCGGATGTTGTCTGCCTAGAACAGCCTGCATCGCATCCAGAATCGTCCAGCTTGCTGAGAACCCTTGTTGGAGAAAACCTCTGACTTGAGGGTATGACTTGACACGCGTGCTGGCAGCTCCTGTCGCAATTTGGGTCATTAGTTCCCATTTTCTTTTTCATTATCCCTATATAACCCCAATATATACCCTATAATCCCTGTATAACCCATTATAGTAGTTTCCATTTTCTTTTCCATTATCCCTATATAACCTCAATATATATATATATACCTCTATATACCCCAATATTACCCAATTTGGGTCATTAAGTCCAGCAACCATGGCTCCATCCTCAACGCTGGCCTTTATGTCATGCCTCAATGACAGGTTCGCTCACCATGCCACCACTTCAAAGGGCTTGCCGCTCACGATGACACGATGAATCTGGCCTTCCGAGCAGAGTATCATCGAACCTTCTCTGCTGATGGCATCACACTGCACGGCTCTTGCTGGCAGCAAGAGATACTTGTGGCAGAAACCAATCTGAACCCGTGCTGGCTTTAAACTGTAGGATCTGTAAGGCTTGCGATGACCTGCATGTTCGCTGATTCTTTTTTCTCGAGAAGTTCAGGTACCTTTCTGGGGATCCCTATAATTAGTATATTGGGGTCTATATTGGGGTCCCCTTATTTTGGGAAACTACCACTTTTGTATGAGCGGAAACTGGATATTGGACTTGGTCTTGAACCAAACGTTGAGAAGGCTGGCAGCTTGGGCAGAGACATGCCTGCTGCAAACCTCAAAGCTCCAATATTATTATTGGTATTATTTCGAATACTATTATTAGTGTTATTACTACTATTGAAATAATTAGGTATTACCTCTTAATAGTCATAGTAATATTAGTACACCGGGGGTCTGCTTTGGGATGTCGGGGTTCGTTGGCAAATTGACTGTTGCATCGCACGGGAGGTGTCAAACCTCAACGAGGTCCAGTTCCCCCCACGAGCGGGCGCCCGAGGAGCATGTCCAAATAAGCTATAGTCACAGTCTAAACTCCTTAAAGGGGGTTATATTGGGGATTATTTAGGGTATAGGGTATAGGGTTTAGGGTCTAAACTCCTTAAAGGGGGTGATATAAGGGATTATATGGGAGACTACTACAGGGGTTATTAAGGGGATCCGAGGAGTTTAGACGATGGGTCAATTGTTGGATACGTGGTTCTGCAATTCGACCAAGAGCCTGAGCCAAATCCAATAATAGTAGTGTTAACGCTATATCCCCCATAAAACCCACATATATATATATAACCCTATAACCCATATATATAACCATATAACCCATATATGTATATATATATACATATAATCCTAAACCCTAGCAGTGGTTTCCATTTTCGTTTTCATTCCCCACACTCGGCAGTCACGACGCTGGAGGTCTCTGGTGATATCTTGCACGCTGAGAAGGTGAAGCTCTGCCCGCACCGAGGTACCCGCACGTTAATCACACAACCCCTAATATGAATGCCCTCCCCTAATATTAAATACTTGTGGTATACTATAATATCTTGGGGGCATTTAAGATTAGGGGGGGTGGGGGGGATTTAATATTAGGGGGAGGGTGTTACTTCGGTACGATTATGAATTCAGAGCCTGGATCAGAAATGAGCCTTCTGAGCCCCCGATCTGTGCACATGTCAGATTCAGAGTTCAACCACAAGCTATGAGCTGCCGTACTTTTCCTACTGGGCCTTGACATTCTGTGTCTCCTTCCAGGAAACCTGGGCCATGAGGGACGAGTAGCCGGCAGCTGAGACGCTTCAGTGGCCTGCATCTGTCCTTGTCTGATTTTGTGCAGCTCACCGGCATGCATGGGTGCAGCGCAGCAGATGCCACGGGGATAGTGTGCTTATAAACTATGCTACGATAGCCCGAGTCCACCATGGTGCAAGATACCTGTCAAACTATTTTTTGTCGAAGAAGACCGGCACTAGAAGGAAACTAGAGCAAAGGAACGCGTTCTATAGGCCTTTACTATAATATACTGTTTTATACTAGATGAATATTAGGATCCTTGTTATACATCTATCAAATACCCCATTATACCCCATTATATTATGGTAGTTTCCATTTCTTTTCCATTATCCCTATATTCCCTAGTGACAATATGCTATATTATACTATGATATATGGGCTCACAGGCATGCCCCTCCCAGCCGCGAGCTGCTGGGGTTTGGCGTGGATCTGTGGAGGCCAAGCTGCCAGCTTGAATCTTTACACTCCCGGAAACTCACATGGAAAATTTAACAAAGGGCCCTATAAAGGCTGCAGTCCTTCTAAAGGGGGCTATATGGGCTTCCATGTTAGTTTGGAGGAGTGTAACTCCATTTGCAGCTTACTTCGGGTCACTGTGCCCGTGCCACCACGAGTGCCGTACCGCATCTGGTACACTCCACTATAGGGGCCTGAATAATTACCAAGATTATTGTTCCATATTCCTTGCATAGTTATGGTCCACTCCATACTCTCTTGGGTTTGGATTACAGTAGTTTCCATTTTCTTTTCCATTATCCTATGCTCTTGTGCAAGAGGTGTGAACTCTGGCAGGCTCAGACCCCCGCAGCAGCAGCTGCCAAAGTTGTGCTGCTGCTGCCGGGCCGCGTGGCACTGGATGCCTGTGGTTCGACGCTTGTCTCGGGACAGGTTACAGATGATCACGGAGTCGTAAGAGCTGCGAGAGGTACTGAGACAGAGAAGCCACTTTACAGTGTACTATCATGGGCATGGAGCATGGGAGCAATTTGAAGGTGTTATGCAGCCGCAGAATATGCTGTGCTTCCAGCAACGCTCTCTTAAGACTTTGCAATCACATAGATTCCATAAAAGCTTTAGTTCCTCCCAAGTTTTTCTTCAAGTGCTTCAGGCATGCAAGTTTTTCAGACAATAGGGTCAGACCTGGGAGCCTTGCTAAGGCTGTGTGCCTTACTCAGGCTGGCAGACACTGCCCTGTCGTGCTCCTCCCTGCACTTTCTGCCCTCAACGCTCCTGGAGGACCGGACTCTTTGGAGAGTTCTGAATCTCTCCACGTATCCTGTATGCTAGACTCGTCTGCAGGCCACTTCTTCGCATTGCTGCGCATTGACATCCAAAAAGCTGTTGTGCTGTCCTGGTGGAACCATAGCGCACATATTCTTTTGTCCCCGCTTCTGTTGTCCTGGATGATGAAGACCTCGCACAGGACGATGTGCGACATCGCCGCGCGGTGGCCGCACAGGAGCCAGCCACTCAGTAAAGAGTTGCACAGCTTACCGATAGTTTAAGTCGCCCATCAGTGGGTTCCGTCTTGGCCACGAGGCTCGGTACAGCTGCGGGTGACGATGTCGCTTGCGGCACCTTGCTGGAATGCATCAATCAGAAGTGACTGACATGTGAGAGTGCAGCCGAAACATGGCACGAACACGCTGCAAATGGGGTGCCGTATCGGTCCAGGCTGTTGTGATCGTTCAAACCTGCTTCCAATGAACCGTCGAGCCGTCTAAAGATTTCGAAGGTTCACCGAAACATCGGCAGAATTCGGCAGATGTCAGCAGGCCGTGACGTGAAAGTCTTCGTCTTGGCAGGGCAGCTGGGTCAGGCTGGGCCCCAGCACTGCTATTGTTTCAAGACTATTCTTATTACTGCTATAGGTACTATTATCCTATTATTACATGTGGTATTATTACTACTATTAGTATTCCTATTCTGCTGTAAGATGCTGCGAGTTGTGACGAGTCAGCTTGGGTGTTTCTGTCTGTGTGGGCTCTGGCTGAAAGCCAACAAACAAGTTAGCAGTGGGTTTAGGGTTTAGGGTTTAGGGTCAGCATGTCGGCAGAGAGCAGGCGAGCACGTCTGCGAGAGATCAGAATGTCCTCAAAATTCAATCTTACCCCAATATAACCCCAACATAACCCTAATATAACCCCAATATAATCCCAATATACTCCCAATATTACCCCAATGTAATCCCTAATATTGAGTCCTTCAAGCCAGTTGTGCGGCAGGCCCTCAGTCCAAGCCCCAAAATGTTGCGGGTTCCTACTTTGTCCTTGAAGATTTCATCTCAACATATCACCCACGCCTCAAGGTAGCAGTCAAGGACAGATGACTTTCACCAGCTTGCTGTTGGTTTAGGGGGTTGAGGGGGTTCCCTTCCCTAAGGTCCTCTCACATCACGCTGAGCTCTTCCTCCTGGCACGAGGGCAAGGCACTTGTTTTGTAGGCCTCGCTGTCGTTGTCTGGGACAAATTGGACCCTCCAAGCACTCTCCCAATATAACCCCAATATAATTCCAATATACCCCCAATATAATCCCAATATAATCCCAATATAACCCCAATGTAATCCCAATATGATTCCTACCTTTACCCTGATAAAATCCCAATATAACCCCAATAGAACTGGAGGCCACTTCGAGGCCCTACTTTGCTTGGTGCCGCTGGCACACGTCAAGCTCCCAGCAGAAGCGGGGCGCAGGTCATGGGGTTTGGGGTTTAGGGTTTAGGGTTTAGATCATGAAGTCTTTGAGCTGCAGAGCCAGGTTCCGGCAATGTCTTGCATCAAGCTACCCTAATATAATCCCAAGATAACCCTAATATAACCCCAATATAACCCCAACATTACCCTAATATAATTCCAATATAACCGTAATATGGTCCCGATATTACCCTAATACAGTCCCAATACAACCTTAATATAACCCCGCTAGTTAGCAGCTAGTTCCTGCTCTGTACTCTGCAACTCGAAGGCTGCAAGAGTGGGATCAAAGTTGTGAAGTGTCCTGCCATCCCAATATATCCCCACTATAATCCCAATATAACCTCAATATTTCCCTAATATAACCCCAATGTAACTGTGAAGTGTCCTGCCAATTGAGTCCAATCGCGCCGCGCGCTTTGCCGTTGCGCGGGAGACGCCCCTGGGAGTCTTGAGAGAGGCCGTTGGGTTGCAGGGGTTAGGTGGCTCATGGTAATTACAGGGGACTACAGGCATATGGTAGTTTCCCAAAATGAGGGGATATAGACCCCAAAAATACTATGATCCTTATTATGGGGACCCCCAAAATGGTACCCCTAATTTTGGGAAACCCTTATCCCCATAATCCCCTATATAATCCCAGTTTCCATTTCATTTTCCATTTTCTTTTCCATTTGATTCTCCATCATTGGGGTAATATCCCTATATACCCCTTTGGGCAACCTCCATATAACAATTCAGAGCTAAGAGCATAGTCCTTGAACAAACGAGCACTCCGAAAGCCCTACACTTGGCCGTTATAGCGAGATTCTGCTTAAGTTGTCATGTTTGGCGCAGCGTTGGTCACCCCGCCCTGCCCCCCCCCACACATTTTATCGATTTTTGGTGGTTTGGGTCATTTTCCAGCTTTTTGGGGCCTCCCATGGTCATGGTCCTAGCCTCCCCCCTTTGGCCTGTGGTCTATTTGAAATTCGGTTTTTGATTTTTAGAACGTTTATAGTGTTTGTAGAGTGTTTATAGCCTATTACGTCAGCCCCGACCTGTGGTCCTGTGGCCTGTGGTCTGGGTCTGGTAATTTACATTGAGGTTTCTAAAGGTTTTACAGTGTTTGTGGAGTGTTTATAACCCATTACCCCGCCCCGCCCCCTGTGATCATGTGGCCTGTCGACTGGAGTCTTGTGGTTTGCGTTAGGTTTATGGTGGGCTTATAGAGGGCTTATAACATGTTCTAGAATGGAAATAATAGTTCATAACATTTTCTAGAGGGTGTATATCAGTTCAAAGAAGATTTCAAGAAGGTTGACAGAGGAATATGGCTTATAGACTAAACAAGATGAGGACCAGACTCATCCCTGCGACTGTGAGTACTTCTAAGATGCGTCAACAGTACGAAGTTGGAAAAGAAACGACCGTTGCAAATCAATGAGGACCATTCCGATCTCTATGACTGTTGGTACTTCTGAGACGCAGCGAGAGCACGAGGGGCTAAAAGTGACGACAGTGACAAGGACGGCGGCCCTGAGGGCCACCAAAAACGATGACTGTTGCAAGGATGACGAGACCGAGGGGCCCTATCCCTGTAACTGTTGACAATTTTGCAGCATAGGGGTGGCGGGGGGGTGGGGGTACCACGGGGTGGGGGGGCGGGGGGCACTGAGGGGGCAATGCCCAGTATAGGCTTATCCTTGGCTTGGATGCGTGCGGTCTGTGGTGCCACATTGACCTTTCACAATAACTCACAATAAGCACAGTTTCCATTTCATTTTTTATTTTCTTTTCCATGTGATTCTCCATTATTGGGGTATTATCTCTATGTTACCCTGTGGCACTTGTGGCTGTAGACACCTTGGCCAGGTTTGGCAGGAAACGGCAATGGTGGAACTACCCAGGCGTGGGGCTGGCAGCTGCGGACGTTGTTTCGTTCGTTTTATTTTTTTTTGGATTTTTCTGCGCAGCAAATGTAGGCTCTTCCAGCTCTCCGTGCGACATGGTGGCACAGGACTGCTTGGCAAAGATTTGCAGGGACATGTCTGGACACCGTCTTCTGAAAGCCATTGCCACCTACAGATCGCATGCCATGCCGTGGGTTATCAAAGCAGGGCCGAGGCGCATGCTTGCAGAAATAGAATTCTGCTATCCTCTTGCTTCAGAAAGGACTGGCGCTGCCGGGCAAGGAGGCTTTCTTAGTGCAGGAGTGCTTTGCTGGAGAACTTGAGGCCTACAGGTCTTTGCATAAGTGCTTTTCGGTGTACGGCACACATTGCAGTTACACTGCTACAGCAAACACAGCATCACGGACGCAGCTTGCTTGGGAGAAGTTCAGCGATGTTGTCATGTTGACCTGCGCTGAACGATTCTTTGGGCTCCGCAGCTTGTTGACTAACGTGACTTCTGCTGCTTGCTTGCCGATGTTCTGCGTGGAAGTAATACTTCCTACTGCATGACCAGGTCTCTGCCAGAAAATGGTATGTGTCTGTGGGTGTGTGTTTTTTTTCCGACAGCTTGGAGCCCAGAAACCACTTCCTCAGCGTGGCATGTTGCGCGCTCTGCTGGCGACGACGCTGGTTGTCCATTCTGCCGCGGCTTGGTCTGAATGACAACTGCATAGGAAAATAGAGTGCGAAAAGCATGTCAAGTGCAGAGTCTCAGCTGGCCTTGCTTGAATGCAACCAATGGAAACTTAAAAGTTTGAAAGCAGTTTTTGGAATTTTCAGGGATTTCATGGCTGGCATTGGCTTTTCTCAGCTGAGGCAGCCGAAGCGAGCCCGCCGGGCTGTGCGGCGAAGAATTCTGGCCCCTTGCTCCTCCAGGCCCCCAGGATTCACGAGATTCACATGCGGGTTTCCAGAATTGGGGGTACCATTCTGGGGGTCCCAAGAATAGAAGGAGTATAGAAATCTAGGGTATATATTGGGGTTCCCCTTATTTTACAAAACTACTACATTGATTCACAATTCCAGCAACTGCTAAGCTCCCACAGCTGCGATTTGCAGGTGGGTGGCAAGGAGCTTCGGCGCGCGGAGGTGGACGTAGCTCAGGTGGCCTCCTGGGTGGCAGCCCCCTTTGAGGACATTGGGTACCCCTAATTTTGGGAAACCCCCCATAGAACATAGTAGTTTCCATTTTCTTTTCCATTATCCCCATATAACCCCAATATATACCCTATAATCCCTATATAATCCCTATATAGTCCCTACAGCTTCAGGACTGCCGCGTGACTGAGCCGATTCGGCGTCCGCGCAAGGAGCTCGTCGCCTTTCAGCACCGTGGCCTGTCGGCAGTGCTGCATTTGGAATGAATGATGCCTACCTGGTCTGACTTGCAACCCAGCACCGGGTTCTGAGAGGTCAAGTTACTTGCCGGTCCGCTGTGGATGGAGCTGAGCTACCTTCCGCTGCGTGCGCAGGCAGATTGCAAAACCATCCTGTAACAGCAAGTCCACCTTGAGCTGAGCAGAATCGACGTGCTCAGGGCTTCCGGCACCTCGACGCTGGCGACGTTGTGACTGCGGTGTGACATTGTGCAAACCTGGCCAGGAAGAAGGCAGCTGGACTTCTGCCTATCGCTTCAAGTTCTTGTTGCGAAAGGCGAATGCCTGAAGTTTGCATGGACATGGCATTTGGTAGTTTCCCAAAATTGGGGAACCCCAATATAGACCGCCAAATACTATGATCCTTACTATAGGGACCCCTAAAAAGGTACCCCCTAATTTTGAGTAACCCTGAACGGTAAACAGTAGCTTCCATTTTCTTTTCCATTAGCCCTATATAACCTATTATGAACCCCCAAAATTGGGTACCCCTAATTTTGGGAAACCCTAAACCTTAACCCTAAACCCCTATATATCCTTATATAACCTTATATATCCCCTATAAACCCTTTAAAGGTACCCC